ACTCCGATCAGCGAGCTTCTTCGTTGCTGCTGGATGGTCAAAAGTCGCTTATGCGTGCGCTCCCACAACTGGTGCATAGCGGTAATGAAGTCATGTGCGGGTTGCACCGTGGCGGGTACTGTCGGTTTCTGAGGCGTGAGAGGAAGAAAGGAGTTTGCCCTATTGCGGCATGTGTGGCGTTGTTATATGCAAACTCGAGAACCGGCAGGTGCGCATCCCATTTAGAGATATCGTTCTTACATGCTACTCGCAGTAGTTGTTCGACAATCTGGTTGAGGCGCTCTGCCTGACCATCCGTTTGGGGATGATATGCTAATGACATGGTGAGTTTGGTCCCTATGTGCGACATGAGCTCCTTCCAGAATTTTATGAAGTTTAGAACGAGAGAAAAATTGAACTATAAAATAGTTAGGTACAAGTACTAACCCTAATTGGGTTGTACCCCTTATGGGCTACCCCACTACAGCTTACACAGATGTATAAGCTATAATGTTGTGACAAATTCACTCGTGAATTCCGGGTCTCTTTCAGAGATCAGCGTGGTTGGAATGCCATGTTGCGAGATGACGTAGTGGAAGAATAATTTCTCTATCTCCTCGGTGCGAGCCGTTGTGTGTGTCGGGATGAAGTGGCCCATTTTGCAAAATTTGTCGATGACGACTATAATGGCATTGTAACTAGCTTTGGTAGGTGGTAACCCGGTGATGAAGTCAAGGCTAACCACTTGCAAAGGCTGTTTAGGGACTGGAAGAGGCTGTAGTAACCCGACTTTCTTCTGTTTGCTATTCTTCATACGTTGGCATGTGTCGCACGAGGCGACGGATTTTTGTACGTCATCCGCCATGTGGGGCCAATAATAATGCTTCGCAATACTGGCAAGCGTCTTGTTACTACCGAAGTGGCCCGCGTAGAGAACATCATGATATTCTTCGAGTAGTAACTGGCAAAAGGAGGGTAATTAGGTAACCATATTTTTGTGGATCCCTTGCGGTATGCGATGTCTTGATCCCAGTGTAGAAGATGGCGCTTTTCTGCTACACAGACTTCGGGGTCAATGGTGTATCCATGCGTGAAGAGTCCCTTCAAAAGTGGGTTCATGCCATCGACTTGTAGGGCAGCAACGTGTGTAGGGCGACTGCGTGCATCTGCCTTGTTCTTGTGCCCCGGCTTATACACGTTGTCGTAACAGAAGTGGGTTTCGAGAAAGTCAATCCAACAAAACTGCCGCCTGGAGAGTGTTGGTTGGGTTTTCAGATACTTGAGGCTGTAGTGGTCGGTGTAGACGGTGGGTTTTCTTCCTTCGAGATAACACCTCCATGCCTTAAAGGCATTGACGATGGCGAGGGCCTCTTTGTCATGGATAGGGTGATTGAGTTCTGCCCCGTCAAGTTTCTTACCAAGGTATGCAATGGATTGCAGCCCTTTTCCTTGATCTTGCATGAGTACTGCGCCCACTGCTTGATCGCTAGCATCGGTCTTGATGATATGGTCAAGTTCGTGTGAAGTTTAGAACGAGAATGAAGGAGGGTTTTACTAGCAGCAATGAGGATACATATAGCAAACCCTAGATGGGTTGTACTCGCTATAGAGCACCCCACTACAGGCTAGAGAATAACATTCTGACACACCCCCATAGCCCAAGTGGGGTGTAATCAGCACAATGAGCAAGCAAGCATAGAGCAGGAGTTCACAATAGCAAGCAAAGCTAGTGTCATTCACAAAGGGCAAGTGAGGAGGAGGAGGCGAGACTGTAAGAGGAGAGGAGATAGGAGGCGACGGCTGAAGTTGCAGACATACGGGCAACAGGAGTCACACTGGCACAACAGCTACCGGAACAACGCTCCGGACTACTGGAGTAACTGGCTCCGCGGCTAAGACTAGCGGCAGGCGAGCAACGGACCTACGGGCGACTGGCACAGCTGGCTACGACTGGGCTACCGGAGCAGCGCCCCGAACTACTGGTGCTGCTGACGACACGACGATAACCTCCGTTCAACCAACCTCCTCCAGCTGCCCCACACCTCTCGACACACACCCCCTCCTCAAACCCTAGCTCCACTCCCATAGCACCCCCCTTACACCCTAAACCGCAGGCTCACATACATCCACCTCCCTCAAAACCCTAGCTCCACTCCCACAGCACCCCCCTTAAACCCTAAACTTCAGGCTCCCACACATCCACCCCCCTCAGCGACAGCTGCAGCAGTGGGAGACGAAGGAGGAGGAGGAGCAGGGGAGACCACACACCCGTCACCCCCTACTCGCCACCCCCAGACCCTAACACAGGGCAGGGCGGGACGGCGGGTACGGAGGTAAGGGTGGGGGGGGCGACGCGCGGTCTCCTTGGGCGCCAAAACAGGCGGCAGAAGGGGCGATGCTCGCCCCCCTCCCCCAGGTCCCCCGAAGGAGCCGCGACGGGCGACAGGAAAAGTTGGGGGGGAGGGGGGGTGGGGGGGGGGGGGGGGGGGGTGTACGTGCCCCCGGTGCGCCGCGGCTGGCGACGGGCCATGGCTGGGGTGGGGTCGGGGCAGCAAGTGGCGGCGACGGGGCCGCTGGAGGCAGCGACGGGGCCGCTGGCGGTGGCGACGGGGCCGATAGGAGCGGCGATGGGGCCGCTAGGGTCGGCAACGGGGCCGCTGGCGGCGGCGACGGGGCCGATAGGAGCGGCGACGGGGCCGCTAGGGTCGGCGACGGGGCCGCTGGCGGTGTCGACGAGGCCGATAGGGGCGGCGACGGGGCCGCGAAGGGGCCGCGAGGGGCCTAGAAGGGCGGCGACAGGCCGCGAAAGGGGCGGCGACGGGGCCGTGAAGGGGCCGCGAGGGGCCTGGAAGGGCGGCAACGGGGCCGCGAAGGGGCCGCGAGGGGCCAGGAAGGACGGCAACAGGGCCGCTAAGAGTAGCGCGAGGGGCACGCCACGGGGCGTGCCGAATAGAAAGAAGCAGTGGAAGCAGTTAGGTGGGCCCACAGGCCAGGACCGTAGATGCTCTGATAGCATGTGAAGTTTAGAACGAGAATGAAGAAGGACGGTTTTACAAGCAGCAATGAGGATATATATAGCAAACCCTAGATGGGTTGTACTTGCTATAGAGCACCCCACTACAGGTTGGAGAATAACATTGTGACAGTTCGGGGTCTGGCAAAATGAGGACAGGTGCGGATGTGAGTGCGGTTTTCAGCTGTTCCACGGCTTCTTGGTGCTTAGCCTCCCACTGATATGGTGTACTCTTCTTCAACAGGTTTGTTAGTGGTGCGGCAATCTTGGCGTAGTCCGGTACAAACCGGTTGTAGTAGTTAGCGAATCCAAGGGATTGCTGTAACTCCTTCATGTTCTCGGGGGTCTTCCACGTTCGCATTGCTTCGATCTTCTTTGGATCCACGTGAACTCCTTGAGCGCTCACCATATGGCCAAGGAACTGGGCCTTCTTCAGTGCAAACTTGCTCTTCGATAGTTTCACATAGAAGCGTTCTCGTCGAAGAATTTCGAAGACGCGTCGCAAATGCTCAACGTGCTGCTTCATGTCTTTCGAGTAGATCAGGATATGGTCCAAGTATACCACCACGCACTCGTCTAGAAGGGCCGAACGATGTGGTTCATTTCCGCCTGAAATGTGGCTGGTGCGTCAGTGAGTCCGAACGGCATCACGAGATACTCATACGACCCATACCGAGTTCGGAAGGCAGTTTTGTAGATAGAGTTGTCCGCCATACGAATTTGCCAGTATCCCGATCCGAGGTCGAGCTTGGAAAATACCGTAGCAACGCGGATTTGATTAAGTCGTCAATCCGTAGTATTGGGTATCTATTTTTTTTAGTTATTGTTGATGTTAGCCGTCCGGTTAACCCAGTTGATCTCAGTGTTGAATTTTTTAAGAAAGTCTCTCCTGAAGATTACGTGGAGTCCTTAAATATATGTGACGGGGAGAGCAGGCTTCCATCGCAGGGGTCCAATTTGTAGTAATAACCGTGTTTCCCGGTAGATTGGTAGCTAACTGCCATCCACCATAGTTGCCGAGAAGCTTGAGGACTTGAGCTCTCCTCTGAGTCGGTCGATTGTTTCCTTGTCGTAGACACTGTGCCACGCTCCGCTGTCCACATGTGCATGGAGGCGCTGTCCGTTGCAGATCACCTCGAGTAGGAGTGGTGTGTCAGAACATTATAGCTTATGTATTTGTGTAGGCTCTAGTGGGGTAGCCCATAACGGGTACAACCTAATTAGGGTTAGTACTTGTACCCAACTCTTTCATAGTTCAATCATTCTCTCGTTCTAACTTTCACATGGTATAGAGCTAGTTCCCTCGTCAGAACTATTCCTAGGGCCCACCGATCTTTATTTTTCCTGCCCGGAGCGCGCTTGGCCCCTGCTCGAGTCGCACCACGTGTCGTTCCCCCTCTAGCGGCTCCGTCGCACTGCCCTTGCGGCCCCGTCGCGCCGCCCTTCCGTGGCCCCGTCGCCCGCCCTTCCGCGGCCCCGTCGCCGCCCTGCAGCGGCCTAGTCGCCCACCCCTTCAGCGGCCCAGTCGCCGCCCTTTCGCGGCCCGTCGTCGCCCATTCACGGCCCGTCGCTGCCCTTTTAGCGGCCCGTTGCCGCCCTTAAAGCCGCACCGTCGCCGCCCTTTGACGGCCCAGTCGCCGCTCAGCTGCCCAGCGCCCGAGCCACCAAGCAGCCCAGCCACTGAGCAGCCGAACCGCTGAGCAGCCGAGCCGCCCGACAGCCGAGCCGCCGAGCAGCCCAGCAGACTGACCGCCGAGCCACCCTGCAGACAAGCCACCGCTGAGCAGCCGAGCCGCCCAGCAGCCGAGCCGCCGAGCAGCCGAGCCGCCCAACCACCAAGCTGCCGTGCAGCCGAGCCGCTCGAACGCCGAGCTGCCCTGCAGCCGAGCCGCCGAGCCGCATCACAGCTGTCGGCCTGCCGGAGACCGCCCCACTTGCCTGGTAAGAGCAGCGTCTCTGCCACTGCACTGCTCTGCCCCACTGTACTCACTACCTGTCTACTGCTGTCATGGCCTCCCCTAGTGTTCTCACCTTTGACGCTGACGCTCGGGCAGATGACTTAGAGGTCTGGGTAGATGATCTGCAGCTTTTCCTACAGTGCGATAGGGCAGACGGTCTCTCCCTATTTGATCTCACCTCTGGTACCTCTCCTGCCCTTGCTGCTGATGCTGACGCTACTGTTCGGTCACAGTGGGCCACGCGCGATGCTGCTGCTCGCCTTCCTGTGCGCCGCCACTCACCCAATACTGAGTGTGCACACTTTAGCTAGTACATGAGTGCTCAGACCTTGTACGACGTAGTAGTTTTACGCTACTCTTCCCCTGCCACTGCTGCACTGAGCCGCCTCATGCTACCGTACCTCTTCCCTGACCTTGCTGCCGTTCCCACTGTTGCTGACCTCATTACGCACCTCCGCACTAGTGACACTCGCTACCGCGCCGCCCTTCCTGCTGAGTTCTGCGCCAAGAACCCCCCCCCACCCCCCTCCATGTACATCACCATCTACTACATGGTCACCCGGCTCCCTGACTCTCTCCGCGTAGTCAGGGACCACTTCCTCTCAGTTTGCCCCACCACTCTCACCGTTGACCTCCTCGAGAAGGCCTTCCTAGCGGCAGAGAAGAGCATAGTCGCTGTAGGAGCCTCTCGTGGTGACCCTCGCACCCCCGTCTTTGAGGGGTGTTCTCCCTCCCCCCTCTTGCCCTCTGTTGCCTCAGCTGCTGCGGCCGACCCCGTTGGTTTCGAGCCGGCCGGTGCTGCGTCTGCCCCGAGCGGGAGACGCCGCACCGGTAAGGGCAAGGGGGGCAAGGGCGCTGGAGGGGCTGGAGGGGGCGGTGGAGGTAGTGGTGGAGGCAGTGGAGGGAGTGGGGGTGGTGGTGGGAGTGGTGCCAAGGGTGGCGGCGACGGCGGAAGGAGTGGAGGCAGCGAAGGCGGTGGAGGTGGTAGAGGGAGTGGAGGCGGCGGAGGTAGTGGAGGAGGCGGAGGTGGAGGAGGCGGCGGAGGCGGCAGCGGCGGCGGCGGTGGTGGAGCGGGTCGCGACTCTACGCAGAGGAGTGGCTCAGGTGGTGGTCCGCGCCAGCAGCAGCGGAGTGGTGTGACCCTGTCCCCTCAGCAGCTCCGTGAATGGTACACTCCGAGTCAGCGCGGTGGGGGTTTTGGTCCCTGCACTTACGTCCTCCGTACCGGCAACCGAGCTGGTGAGCAGTGCGGAGGCCAGCACTCCACCCAGCGTTGCTTTGGTCGCCTGATGCACGTGTGGCGTCTCCAGTTCCCTGAGGCATCAGAGATCCCTCGTTGGGGAGATCTGTCTAGGGCAAGGGTTGCCGTCTTTGATCTTGACTATGATGCTATCTGTCAGAACATTATAGCTTATGCTGTTGTCTAGGCTGTAGTGGGGTATCCCATAAAGGGGTACAACCCGATTAGGGTTGGTACTTGTACTCACTCATTTCATAGTTCATTCATTCGTGTTCTTTGTTTTCACATGGAATCAGAGCAGGTTCCCTCCTAGGGACTGCTTCTAAGGCTCACCGAAGCGCGCCCCGAGGCGCGTTTTCCTTTATTTTTAGCGACCCTCCGTGTCGCCCCTAGCGGCCCATAGTGCCGCCCTTACCTAAGCGGCCCCGCGGCCCTTACGTCGCGGCCCCGCCGCCCTTACCTACGCGGCCCCGCCGCCCTTCCTTCGCGGCCCCGCCGCCCTACACGTCGCGGCCCCGCCGCCCTGCACGTCGCGGTCCCGCCTCCCTTCCTTCGCGGCCTCGCCGCCCTGCACGTCGCGGCCCTGCCGCCCCCTGCTAACGCGGCCCCGCCGCCCTTCCTTCGAGGCCCCGCCGCTCTGCTCACGCGGCCCCGCCGCTCTGCACTTCGCGGCCCCGCCGCCCTTCATTCGCGGCCCCGCCGCCCTTCCTTCGCGGCCCCGCAGCCCTGCACGTCGCGGCCCCGCCGCCCTGCACGTCGCGGCTCCGCCGCCCTTCCTTCGCAGCCCCGCCGCCCTGCACGTCGCGGCCCCGCCGCCCTGCACCTCGCGGCCCCGCCACCCTTCCTTCGCGGCCCCGCCGCCCTGCACGTCGCGGCCCTATCGCCCTCTACTTCGCGGCCCCGCCGCCCTTCTACCGCGGCCCCGCCGCCTTGCACCTCGCGGCCTCGCCGCCATGCTAACACGGCCCCGCCACCCTTCCTTCGCGGCCCCGCCACCCTCTGTTACGCGGCCCCGCCGCCCTGCTACAGCGGCCTCGCCGCCCTGCACTTAGCGGCCCCGCCGCTCTTCCTTCACGGCCCCACCTCCCTGCGCTTCGCGGCCTCGCCACCCTCAGCTCCTCGCCCACTGCACCACCCTGCATCGTGCACCCGAGCAGCCGACCGCCGCGCCGCCGAGTACCGGGAGAGCCAAGCCGCCCAGCAGCTGCGCAGCCGAGCCACTCAGCAGCCGAGCCGCCAAGCCGCCCGACCGCCGAGCCGCCCTACCGCCCTGCACTCAGCCGCCGAGCCGCCCCGCAGCCGAGCCACCCTGCAGCCGAGCCGCCCTTCTGCCGAGCCGCCCTTCTGCCGAGCCGCCTGTCCTGCCCCGTCTGGTGAGCACGCCCCACTGCTACTGCGTGCCCTGCCCCCCCACTGCTTGCACTACTAGTCTATTGTCATGGCTACCCCCAGTGTCCTCGCTTTTGACACAGAGGGTCGAGCCATTGACTTTGAGGTCTGGGTCGACGACCTGCAGTTGTTTTTACAGTGCAATAGGGCGGACGGTCTCTCTCTCTTTGACCTCACCTCTGGCGCCTCTCTTGCTCCTGCTGCTGATGCTGACCCCACTGTTCGCTCTCACTGGGCCACCCGCGATGTAGCTGCACGTCTTGATGTGCGTCGCCACCTCCCTACCAATAAGCGCGCGCACTTTAGTCAGTACAAGAGTGCACAGACCTTGTACGACGCTGTAGTTGCGCGCTACTCTTCCCCTGCCACTTATGCACTAAGCCGCCTCATGCTACCGTACCTCTTTCCTCACCTTGCTGCCTTTCCCACAGTTGCTGACCTCATTACGCACCTCCGCACTAGTGACACCCGCTACCGCGCTGCCCTTCCTGCTGAGTTCTGCGCCAAGAACCCCCCCCCCCATGTACATCACTCTCTATTACATAGTCACTCGCCTGCCTGACTCCCTTCGCGTAGTCAGGGACCACTTCCTCTCAGTCTGTCCCACCACTCTCACTGTTGACCTCCTTGAGAAGGCCCTCCTAGCGGCAGAGAAGAGCATAGTCGTTGTAGGAGCTTCTCGTGGAGACCCGCGCACCCCCATCTTTGAGGGATGTTCTCCTTCCCCCGTGCTGCCCTCTGTTGCCTCTGCTGCTGCCGCCGACCTGCTTGGTCTTGAGTCGATCGGCGCGGCGTCTGACCCTAGCGGGAGACGCCGCTCTGGCAGAGGCAAGGGGGGCAAGGGCGCGGGTGGAGCTGGCGGGGGCGGTGGAGGTGGCAGTGGAGGCGGCGGAGGGAGTGGGGTGGCGGTGGTGGCGGCAGCGGAGGCGGAGGCGGTGGCGGCGGTAGCGGTGGGAGCGGAGGCGGCGGTGGTGGCGGAGGTGGAGGCGGTGGTGGCGGAGGAGGTGGAGCCGGTCGGGGTAGTGCCCCCCAGCGGAGCGGCTCTGGTGGTGGTCAGCGCCAGCAGGAGCAGCAGCAGCAGCGTTCTTGGGACGTCCCCCCGCCTCAGTAGCTCCGTGAGTGGTACACGCAGCGTCAGCGTGGTGGAGGTTTTGGCCCGTGCACCTACGTTCTTCGTTCCGGCGACCGCGCGGGTGAGCAGTGTGGGGTTGCCCACTCCACCCAGCGCTGCTTTGGCCGCCTGACGGACGCGTGGCGTCAGCAGTTCCCCGAGGCTAGTGAGATCCCCCACTGGGAAGAGCTGTCTAGGGCTGGCGTATCGATCTTTGATCTTGACTTTGATGCTATCCTTGCTGCCATGTATGCTGTGACTATAAGTGATGAGGGTGACTGTTACCGGTGTTTCCCGCCCGACCCGGGCATTGGTACTGCTGCGCTAGGTGCTTGCGAGCCTGCTGCTCTAGGTGCCAGCGTGTCTGCGCTCTCAGGTACTGATGAGGCTGCGCTCTCAGGTAACGAGTCGGCTTCGGCCTCCCTCACCTTCATACTTGACTCCGCGGCTTCTCGCTCCTTCTTTGTGGACCACACCACACTCACGCCGCTTTGCCGGCCGGTTGCGGTCTCTCTGGCTGACCCCTTTGGGGGTCCTGTCGTCTCTCACTTCTCCACTGTCCTCCCGTGTCCAGCTGCCCCCTCGGGCACCCTGTCTGGTCTGTACCTCCCCTCGTTCTCAACGAAGTTGGTGAGTGGTGCTGACTTGCACGATGCGGGGGTTCACCAGTTCACTCCTGCGAGTCAGCGGGTGACCCACTGCACGGACGCGCGCACAGGCCGACACCTGGTCACGTTCTCCCGTCAGCCGGGGTCGAGCCTGTGCACCCTAACCACTGAGTCTCCTCCTGTACCTGTCTTTGGCCTGGTAGCTGCGTCAGGTCAGGTGTTTGCTGCTGCGTCCAGGTCTGGTCCTGAGTCTATCCCCTGCTCGTGTCGCCTCCCGTCTCACGAGACTCTCCTATGGCACCACCGTCTTGGCCACCCCTCCTTGCCTCGTCTCAGGGACATGGCTTCCCATGTCCTTGTCTCTAGTCTCCCTCGGTCTCTCCCTCCTCTTCCTTCGGGGCCAGAACCTTCCTGTGTCCCTTGTGTCAAGGGGCGCCTCCGGGCTGCCCCTCACTCCTCCCAGTTTCCTCCGACAGAGGCTCTTCTGCAGACGCTTCACATGGACGTGTGGGGCCCGGCCCGCGTCCGTGGACAGGGTCTCGAGCGCTACTTCATGTTGGTGGTTGACGACTACTCGCGTTTCACCACAGTCTTCCCCTTGCGCAGCAAGGGTGATGTCACTGAGGTGTTGATCGACTGGATCCGCACAGCTCGTCTCCAGCTCAGGAGGAGCTTCGGCTCGGACTATCCTGTTTCGTGTCTGCACTTTGACCGAGGCGGAGAGTTCTCCTCTGACCTTGTGCGAGCCTACTGTCGTGCACGAGGCATTCGCCAGACCTTTACGCTTCCGGACTCTCCGCAGCAAAATGGGATTGCTGAGCGCCGCATTGGCATGGTCATGGACATCGCTCGTACGTCCATGATGCATGCGGCTGCCCCCCATTTTCTGTGGCCGTTTGCGGTTCGGTACGCGGCGCATCAGATCAACCTTCACCCCGGGGTTTCCCGGCCGGGGAAGGTCCGTACCTCCCCGGCTCTACTGTGGACTGGGAAGGTCGGCGATGCGTCTGTGTTCCGTGTCTGGGGATCTCGGGCATTTGTCCGCGACTTGTCTGCGGACAAGCTGTCCCCTCGTGCTGCTCCTTGTGTCTTCCTTGGCTTCCCCCCTGACGCTCCAGGGTGGCAGTTCTACCACCCCTCCTCTCGTCGTGTTCTGTCCTCTCAGGACGTCACGTTCGACAAGTCAGTCCCCTTCTACCGCCTCTTCCCCTACCGCACTCCTTCCCTTCCCCCGCCGCCACACTTCCTTGTGCTAGGTCCCCCCCCGGTAGACCCCCTTCCCCCTCAGGGTCCTGCCCCTTCAGGTGTGTCCCAGGTTCACGCAGTCGAGCCGGTCGAGGTTGCTGGTTACTCTGGTACTGCTGCGGGTGCTGAGCCTGGGGGTGCTGACTCTGGGGGTGCCATGCGCGTGGGTGCTGAGCTTGGGGGTGCTGAGCCTGGGGGTGCTGCGACTGAGGGTGCTGAGCCTGGGGGTGCTGAGTCTGGGGGTGCTGCGACTAAGGGTGCTGAGCCTGGGGGTGCTGAGCCTGGGGGTGCTGCCACCTAAGGTGCTGAGCCTGGGGTTGCTGAGTCTGGGGGTGCTACGCCAGAGGGTGCTGAGTTTGGGGGTGCTATGTCAGGAGCTGCTGAGCCTGGAGGCGCTGCATCTGGAGGTGCTGAGCCTAGAGGTGCGGAGCCTGCCGCCGCTGAACCTCCCCTTTTGGCGTTTGGAGGTGCTAGGCCTGGAGGTTCTCCGGGTGCTCCGTCTCCGAGGGAGCCCCTCTCTCCACAAGAGCTGCGCGAGTGGTTTGCTAGCGGTTGGAGGCGTACTGCTGGAGCTGGGGCTGCTTCGGCCGCTGAGGGTGCTAGTGTCGTCGGTCCAGGAGCTACTGGGCCTGCGGGTCCTACTGGTGCTGGAGCTGCTGAGCGTGGTGGTGCTGAGACTGCTGCTGTCTGTCCTGGT